TCCTCCTCCACTAAAGTGCTCACACCAAACTCTTGGTCCATCTCCTCTAGTAGTTTGGCCTGTGGCAAAAGAAAGCATGGCCAGTGACCTCATCAGTAGTGTCCAAATGACACCCAAGATGCCACCAAGTAGCTATACAAAAGGACAGGCTTTGCAGTGCGCCATGGAGAACCCATATGCCCCTGAGCACAGGCCACCCCTGACAACCACTCTTGAGCACAGGCCACCCCTGACAACCACCCGAGCACAGGCCACCCTGCCAACCACCTCTGAGCACAGGTTACCCTGCCAACCACCCCTGAGCACAGGCCACCCCTGCCAACCACCCCTGAGCACAGGCCACCCCTGCCAACCACTCCTGAGCACAGGCCACCTCTGGCAACTGCCCTATACTGCCAGGTGCTCTCACCCGCTTCTCTGCCAGGTCCTTCTCTTTCTGTAGCTGCCGGCTCCTCTCTATCCAGGCTGCAGTATCATCAAGCCAGGGGTCATCCTCCCCCAGTGTCTTTATTTTCCTGAGGAGGAAGACAATTAGGAGGGAACCCAGATGTGTTCTCCCAGCCCAACCCAGGAATTAGGAAGCAATCTTCTCTCTGTCCTTGGCCAGGAAACCCTCACCCCAACTTTTGGTTCAGCAAGCGCTTTTCCTTGGCAGCTGCCAGCTTCTCCCGTAGTTCTTCACGCTGTCGCAAGGCCATGGGGTTGATAACATCAGCTGCCACGGGCTCCTCCTTGGTGCCCGCCTCTGGAAGGGGGGCCCAGACGTGAGGCTATGCTTGCCCATGGCTGGTGGGGAGAGGAGGGAGCCACTCACCCTGCTCCTTCCAGCTGAGGGGCCAGAAGGGGCCAGGAGAGGGGAAAGAACCCTTTCACCTCTGTACTCCTACCTCATCCCCCACTTTTATCACTCCACATGGTATGACAGAAACCCTCCCTCTATGCCTTCCAGAGCTTCTTAAATCATGTGGGTTGTTGTTGTTTTTCTTATTTTCTGGTATGTATGTTTGTTTTAAAAAACACTAACACCACTCAGACAGACTACAGCAATTATGCATATCCCTTAGCCTGTCTACACCGGAGTGCAGATATCAAGGGCACCCAGAGAAACACATGTCAGATCCCCACTAAAATACAAATGAGTCTTGGGCCTCTGACTAAATATATGCAAGACCCACTGTCTTCCTGTCAGACGCCCCAGCCCAGCCCGCTCCTCTGCCTGGCACTCACCTTTTTTAACGGCATTGACCTCCAAGGGCTTCAGCCCCAACTTCGCTCGGAGTTTACTGAAGACAAGAGACAGAAGTATTAGCATCTACCTGAGAAATGGGACATCAAGTGCATTAGAGGATAGGCAGGAGACAAGAACAAGGCACCTGATCAGGGAGACTCTCCTTCCTTTGGGTCTTACAGCTTCTCTGGATGGCTACCTGACTCATCTGGCCCTTCTAACTCTAACTGGCTTCATTCATAATGAAAAGGTTTCTGTAGGCTGCCCTAGGTGCACCCTTTCTCACAGAAAAGCAAAACAAAAGGCGCTGGCACTCACTTGGTCTCCTCGATGCTAAGTGATGAAGCATCTCCAGAGCTGGCTTTGGAGCTGGCAGCTAGAACAAAAAGGAGAATGACTTAAGGGGCCCATGAACCTGGTCCATGCTGCACCAAGAAGCAACACTGCTGATCCAGCTACAAGGTCAAAGACAAGGGCCCTCACCAGCACCTGGGAAAATGACAGGAGAAAACAGCAGCCTTCTTTTTCTGAACTCCCTGACAGCTCCTACCCAAGCCCTGGCCTGGCAGGACAGCCTCTTCCGATACCTTCACACACACACACACACACACACACACATTTTGGTTTTTCGAGGCAGGGTTTCTCTGTGTAGCCTGGACCTCACTCTGTAGACCAGGCTGGCCTTGAACTCAGAAATCTGCCTGCCTCTGCCTCCCAAGTGCTGGGATTAAAGGTGTGCGCCACCACTGCCCAGTGATACCTTCCTTTCTAACCCAACAGTCTACTTTCTGCATCCCTCACTGTGGCCCTCCAAATCTCCATATTCTACCTTCAGCCTCCACTGTCCTTTCTGCTCTTGTTATGATAAAGTTCTATAAAAAAATCAAGGACTACCTCCCCCATGAAGTCCTATTCCTCACCAGAATTAAAACTCTACCTTCAACTGCACAGCACTGCTCACCACTTCTGGCACTTTCCACAGCAGCGTTCCATGCCAGACATGCACGTAAGTAAATAAGTATATACATGAACAGATACGTACGCAAACAAGAGAACTTCAACACACACCAGACAGAGGAAGATGCATCAAATTTAGCTCCCCCAACCAGGCCCCACCAGGAGGGCATCTTCTCAAAAATCTCCCTGCCTATTCCACCGCTGCAGCCTATCTCCTTTTCTTTAAACCCAACAGTCTCTTTCTCCTCCACCTCAGCACCACTCCACTTTCTGTATGATCTCTCAAGGCCCAAGTCTCCCTTTTTCCAACTAGCAGATTACTTTCAAGAAAAGTTCTGATCTGTAGACTGGAGAGATGCCTCAGTGGTAAGAGCTTGCTGTTCTTACAGAGGACCCAGGTTTGGTTCTCAGAATCCATGTGGCAACTCATAACCATCTAATTCAGTTCTAAGGGATCCAATGCCTTCCTCTCATCTCCACAGGCACAGACACATGAAGATAAAATACTCAAATGCATAAAATAAAAATAATCTTTTGTTTAAAAGGTTTGGTTTTGCTTAATGTCCTCCTGTGTGTGACACTGTCCAACAATTATCTCTTTGCATAGACCCTATGACCTGACTGCCCACAACTGAGATTTATCGGGTTCTATTCCCGACCCTCGTTCTCATTCCACATGTTCTAAGGCACTTCTTTAGTTTCCTGAAGACACGCCAGCCCAAAGTCACTCGATCCCACTTAAACTGTAGAGTTTCCCATACATATCAACCACAAAGTTCTCTCAAAATGGTGTCATTCCTACCTCAAATCTGCTTCTCTTCTAAACTCATTTCCAACAGATGACACCACCACTCACCAGGCCACGCAGACTAAAACTCAAGGAGTGCTTTCCCTATTCTGTTAATTCCACTTCTCTCCACCCCACTGCCTGAAGAAACATGCATACTATTACCCCTCACCTGGTTGCTTGGACCGCCCTCCTGATCTCTTGATCTCTGATCCTACTTTTGACAAGCTCTCAACCCACTGATCTTCATAAAATATCATGCAAATCAAGTCACTTTCTTACTCAAATGCTTAGCTTCCTACCATCCTCATAACAAACGCCAAATTTCTCAACAGAACTTACAGCACCGGCCCCTTGGTGTTCAGACCCAAGCCTATCTTACTGCTTCAAGTCTCTGCAATGAGCCCAACACCATTAGTCTGTCTGTGCATGTTCGTTCCACCTCATTCACCCACCCAATGCATTACTGTGAAGTGACAGAAAGACAGGGAAAAAGAAGACTCCTGTCTTCTTGAAGCTAACCGTGAAAAAGTCAATGTTTAATCCCAAACCCTCAAAGGGAGTCTTTAACACAAGAGGCCGAAAGGCCCTCGAGGTCGTCCTGCACCCTCCGTCCCGCGCACCCCAAGACCCTGCCCCGCCCCCGCGCTCTGCCCCGCCCTCACCGGCCTCATAGCCGTCATCGCGTTTCTCCCGCTTCACGCGCCGCTCCGAGGGCTCCGCTTGACTTCGTTCGCGACCATGCGCGCCACTGCGGGCCTCGGCTTCGGCCCCGCGCCTCCCGCTCCCGCGCTCGCCCCCACGCTCGCGGCTCCGCTTCCGTCGTTCGCCGCCGCCGCTGCTGCCGCCGCCGCTGCTCCGGTGCTTGTGTTTCTTATGCTCTCGATGCCGTGGCGGCTGCTCGGTAGTGCCCGCGGTACTAGCCGCAGCCGTCGTCCCGGCTGCCTCCTTCTCCCCACGGTGCTTCTTTGACGATCCCATGATTAGTGCGTCTGCCTAGAGCCGGGCCGCTACCCGAGCCCAGACGACGCAAAATGGGAACGCTTCCGGGTCGCTCGACCGCCCCTTTCCTGTTGCCGGAAACTAAGAGCGGCTGTTTCCGGATCCTGCCTGGGAACCTCCAAAGGCTCATGGGAGGGACTAATTGGGAGTGCGCGTTCCCGCCTGTCAGGTACTGGTCTCTGGGCACGCGCGCCTGTAGAGACTGTAGAATCAACATTCTCGCTCCAGTTAGACAGTAGTCCTAGAGCTGTAAGAACCTTAGAATGTTACTGGGCCACCATCTCCGGAGCTAGCAGCTTTCACTACCTTCTTCCCCTTCTACTCTGATGGCCTCGTGGTGCTCTGAGCCCCAGGTTTCTCTGTGGGCTCTCCAGTGATTGTCCTAGTAGGCTCCCTGGTGCCGGGTCTCCATCCGGTGTTGGAAAATACTTTTGTTTTCTTCGTGCTCGAGATGCCAGCTCCAAAGGCCAAGCCTTTATTGCCACCGAAGGCGACTGTCATCCCATGTCCCCTGGACTGGTGGATTGGGCCTTTTTAACTAGGCTCTGGAATGCTAAGGAACGCTCTATGAATTTGTGCCTATAAACCCGGTGATACTTAGTGCTGGTTTATTATCATTATTTGTTTCTAGTTTTCTTTGTGTTTAGGTAGGTAGGTTGGCCCAGTTAGCCCTGGCTGGTTTCAAACCCACCATAGTCCCTCTGTCAGCCTCCCGTGTGCTGGGATTTCAGGCGTGCGTGACCACTGTAGGCTTAAGTGCAAATTCGGCACATTTGTGCATATACGATGCTTTTCCTACCTTTTTTTCCCCTTTCATACTGGCCTGTTAACTATGTAGCCCAGGCTGGGGTTACATGCCTTTCCAGCCTTTTCCTGGGTTTCTGATTGTTTGATTGCTTGTATGGCTTGGTTGCTTTGTTTTGGGCTCTCCGGGCTTCCGGTGTAGCACGTCTCTGGTGTATTTTGGTGTGGGGGGATGGGCTCCTTTAAAGGTTCGTTCCAAGACTGAATCTTCAGAGGCCGGGTCCTGTTCACTAAGATTTCTAGGTTTCCGGATATGTGGAGAACGCATGGAAAAGTCTCAGCGGATTCCTCTCCAGGTGTCCCACTCCTCAGTAGTAGAGACTGCATGCTTGCTGAGGTTAAGGTGCGTTCGGGGTTTGGGGGGGGGGGAACAGCTCAAACTCGGCCACCAGTGCACTTGGCACTACCTACCTCCGACCCACAGCAACTCCCCTCAGAAATCTCACAATGTACTTGGCCATAAAGCATTTAATTTTTCTCTCGGGGACTGTGCTCTGGGTCCAGGGTTGGGGAGGGGTGTCTTCCAGGCTGGCTGCCGGTTGGCTCAGTCTTTGGGGGGCTCTGAGAAGAGGGCTCCATTTCTGCTCCAAATGCCCGATAGCTCCTTAAAGACACAGATGGAGGCCAATGGGCTCCACAGCACCCTAGTCCGTGCCCAATGCAGCCTTTTACTCTGTGGGTCTAAATCTAAGTCCTATACTTAGTTGCTGTGTGACCCTGGAAAGTGACAACCCCCTGCTGCAAATCTCAGTTGTTTGGGGGTTTGTGTGTTTGTTTTACTGTGAAGTGAATCTTATAATCCCTGCTCCGTATGAGGTTACTTACTCTAAGGTGTGAGGGACAGCCTGAAGGGTGATGGAATGTCACCAGCTGCTTGGCATATCTTGCTCAGAGTCTCAGAGTAGCTTTACTGCTTATTTGTTCCTGTGTCCTCAAGTAAGGTCCTACTCTGGTCTCATTGGAAGGTGGGGACAGTAGCCCTGGCCTCCCTTCCTGGGTGACATGGAGAACCCTGGAAGGGCACCTTGTCCCACCTCACCTGTGTTTCCGGGGGATGCCCTCTGCATTGCCTGCCTCAACCAGCAGCTGTTCCTCATCTACTCCCAATGCTGACAGCACCTGGGAGAAGCGCCTATTTGCTGTGAGCCTGGCGTTGGTCTGATGGGAGAAAAGACAGGTTCCTACCCTTCACCAAGGCTGCTGGGGTTACTGTGGGGTTTAGATTATTAAGAAAGGGGTCCCAAGCCTTCCGGGGGAACAGATAGGAACCCACTCCAACTTTGTTTCACTACACACTTGTCGAAGCAGCTCCGTTGGTGGTGATGGTGGTGCACCGGGACAGTTGTTAGCCCTCACCTGCATGGCCTGCTGGAACAGGAAGGGCCGGGCCTGAACCCTATGCTGGATGCCTTGGAGCTCTGCTTGGTACTCAGCAAAACGCTGTCGCTCCTTTCGCCTGTGAGGGAGACAAGACAGGCCTCTGGGCCACTGAACATAGACACTCCCCGGGCTGGAGCCTACTGGTCTTCCTTGAAGCTCGTTAACATAACAGTTTCCCCTGACACACAGCCATTTTATTCCCATTCCAGCCCTGTGCTTCTTGGGTGGGATTACCAGGGTGGGGGTATTGGCCCCACCTGTCTCAGGTTTAGGCTGTGCATTCAGGTCTTGCCCAACCTTCTGGACACATCCAAAGGAGGGAGCCTGTCCTCCTGGCTTTTGACCTCCTGCTTCCACAGCCTCTCTATAAGCCTCCTTATTCTCCTCATTGCCCTTTGAGGATGCTGTGGAGCGTGTGACCTGGGGAGCCTTAGCTCTGAGTCCAGTTTTCTTCACTACAGCAGGGGTTGGGCAGTGCTCCCAGGTACTCTGTGCCTTCTCTATGTAGATAGGTTAGAAGACAACGTAGGAACCAACAAAGAGTATTGCAAATAAAAGAACATCTCCCAAAGCTGGCTGTGGTGGTTAACATTTGAGAAGCTGAGGCAGGAGGATTCCCTGAACTCAAAGCCAACCTGCACTACAGAGTAAATTATAGGCCAGTCTGGATTACATAATGAGACTATAGAAAAAACAAACAAACAAACAAACAAAGATAGATCTAGGCTGCACTGGAGAAAGTTTTCCTGTTTATTAAAGTCAGTTTGAGAATGTTTAGATAGCTCAGCAGGTAAAGGCACTTGCCACACTCAAGGCTGGCAAGTTCGGTTTAAGCTCCAGATCCTACAGAGTTGGCCTTTTTTTTTTTTTTTCTTTTTTTTTTTTTTTTTCTTTTTTTTTTTTTTTTTTGGTTTTTCGATACAGGGTTTCTCTGTATAGCCCTGGCTGTCCTGGAACTCACTCTGTAGACCAGGCTGGCCTCGAACTCAGAAATCTTCCTGCCTCTGCTTCCCAAGTGCTGGGATTAAAGGTGTGCGCCACCACCGCCCGGCCTGACAGTATTTTTCTTACTGTATATTTTTTGTTTGTTTTTTTTGAGATTTGGTCTCACTATGTAAGTCAGGGTAGCGTGGAATTCCCTCCCACGAGCTGAGACTAAAGATGTGTACCACTGCCCCAGCCGTTTTACTCTTTTGACAGGGTCTCTCACTGAACCTGGAGCTCACCAATTTGGCTAGACTGGTTGGTCAGCAAGCCTCCCAGGCACCAAAATTATGGTTGCACACATTTGCACCTGGGTTCGCTTTATCCATGTTTTTAATTAAAAGAAAAAAGAGAAAAGAATGGATGCTAAGGACTCAGCTCAGGTCCTCATGCACCAAGCACTGCTGGCTAAGCCGTCTCCCACAACCCTATTTATTTAGGTTTTGGAGACTGAATTGTGCTTTGTAGTCCAGGCTGGCCCCAAATGCACAATCCTCCTGCCTTAGCCTCCTAAATGTTAGGATTATAGGCACATACCACCATGCCAAACTTGTTTTTGAGACAGTCTGGCTGTTTTGTGCAGACTGGACTCAAATTCCAGGCCTCGAGCCATCCTCCTGCTCAGCCTTGCAAGTAGCAGAGACTATGTGTGCACCATTATGCCCAGATTCTTGCTGGATATCTTGTCATTTCTGTTAAAAAGGAAGTCTGTGTCTTGAAGTTCATGCCAAAAGCCAAAAAATACCGGTGCCAATAGATATCAGCCCTGTTATTCCAAAGTATGGGATGACATTCCCCCCACCACAGTGTCCATGGTGTCCATTCTACTGAGCCTGCCCTCCTGGGCACCACTTAGTCTTGGTTGGTAAAGTTGAACAAACCTTCTCATGGAGAAAAGAGTTTCTCTCTGGCATCTGTCCCAGTCAGGCCAGAAGACTGCCAGGGAAAGTCTGCCTGTGTCTTCACTCTGAAGTAAGAAGATTCTAGCATCCCTCTCATGTACTCAGCTGGAAGATGGGCCTTGTGCTTATCTCTTATTAAAGACCCAGTAATGGCAGGGCATGGTGACAGCTGTTTGTAATCCCTACGCTTGGGAGGCTGGCAGGCAGATTGCCACAGATTTGAGCAGCCTGAGCTACAGAATGAGACTTATCAAAAAATAAATAAATAAATAAATAAATAAATAAATAAGGAGATGGCTCAGAGGTTAAGGGCACTGACTGCACTTCCAGAGGTCCTGAGTTCAATTCCCAGCAACCACATGGTGGCTCACAACCATCTGTAATGGGATCTGATGCCCTCTCCTGGTGTGTCTGACAGCTACAGTGTACTATTTTATTTTATTTTATTTTATTTTATTTTATTTTATTTATTTTTTGGTTTTTTCGAGACAGGGTTTCTCTGTATAGCCCTGGCTATCCTGGAACTCACTCTGTAGACCAGGCTAGCCTCGAACTCAGAAATCCACCTGCCTCTGCCTCCCAACAGTGTACTCATATAAATAAAATAAATAAATCTTAAAAAAAAATAGACTGGAACTTTAATATAAAAAAAAGTGGGGTGGGGTTGAAGGTGCTTCCCAATGGCTCAGTGAGAAAAGATGCTTACTGTTCTGCCTGAGGAACTGAGTTCAGTCTCTAGGCCCCACGTGTGGTGAAAGGAGAGAACTGACTCCTGCAGATTGTCATCTGACCTACATACCCACACTAGAAAAAAAAAACTTAAAAAACAGTGTCCTGCAAGAAGAAATGTGTCCCTGGAAGATACTGTTCTGTAAAACTACCTGTAAAGTTGAGCCAGCCAGGCATGGTGGCACAGCCCTTTAATCCTAGTACTGGGGAGGCAGAGACAGAGGATTTCTATGGGTTTGAGGACAGCTTAGTCTACATAGCGAGTTCTAGGACACCCAGAACTACATTGGGAGATTCTGTCTCAAAATATAAATAATAATAATTTTAAAATAAAGTTGAGGTAAGATTGACTCAGTGTGGGTGCTCTGAGTCCTGCCAAGTCCTTGGTGCTGTGTGTGCTGCAGTCCATGAGACCTCTTCCCACACATCATGAGCCAAAGGCAGGCAGCAATGGGCAGGAACCCATAGGTGTTCAGGTCAAGACTTAACTCTCTTGCCTGCTTTGGGTTTTGGGGTTTTCTCTGCATAGCCCTAGCTATCCTGAAACAAAGATCCACCTGCCTCTGTCTCCCAAGTGCTGGGATTAAAGGTTTTTGCCACCACTGCCAGCCTCAAGTTAATGGATTAAATGGCTGTACTTAATCATACTACCTATGTTATAAGGTTGAGCCATTGCAGGGACTGTCATCTGTCCTTTCACTGAAGAATAAGCACTAAAACATTCAGACAGTGTAGCAGGTAATCTAACAACTGACAGGGATTACTTCAGATGTTGTTGGCAAATCGTTTAAGCTCTCTGCTCTCAGGGCCTTAGTCCTTCCTCTGTAGTTGTCGGTGGGTATTGGTACTACCTAACTGATGGCCCATTAGGAAGAGTTGTTTGATTCATGAATTCGCTTCGAAGAAATATAGTCTTAAATTGAGATTAGCGGTACAAGCCTGTAATCGGCACGTGGAGATAGGAGGATCACTGTGCCTTTGAGGCCAGCTTGGTCTACAGAGAGTTCCAAGACAGCCTAGACTATCAAGATGAGTCCATATCTCAGAAGAAAAAAAGAGCTGGGCATAGTGCTGCCTTGGAGGATCTCTGTGAAAGCCTGGTCTACATATGGTGTTCTAGGCCAGCAAGGGGTACATAAAGAGATCCCATCTCAAAATAGGGAAGGGGATGGTAAAAATGGAAGGCTAGTGAGACACGTTCTTCCAGATGACCATGCCTGTTAACTGTAGCCAGGAGTGGAGCCCCGGGGCAATTTACAGTGAGCATCAACTATTTGTAAAATCTTCAATATATATTTTGAATATGTACGTATGTATGTATGTATGTAATCTGCATGTGTGTAAGTGCATGTGTACCACACTTGTGCCTAGTGTTCACAGAGGCTAGAAGAGGATGCTGGATTCCCTGGAACTGGAGTTATAAATGGTTATGAGTCACCATGTGGAACTGAACCCAGGTCCTTTGTAAGAACAACAGGTGTTCTTAGCTACTGAGCCATCTCTCTAACGTCTCAACAATTTTTTTTTTTTTTTGGACAGAGTCTCCTTGCTGGCTTCAAACTCAGAGCAATCTACCTGCCTTTGCCTCCAGTGTTGGGATTAAAAGTGTTTACCACCGTGTCCAACCAATTTTTATAATAAGCACACCTAGCACCACGAAACCAAAAGGTAAGATTTAAAATCATGACTGTGTGCAGAATACTTTGGGCTTAAGGATATAATATCTGAAGGGGTTACTATGAATAACTGAATGATCTTGACCCCGCCCCTTCTCCAGAGGCCTCAGCGTCTTCATTTGTAAGATGCAGCTGAGTGGCCTGGCCTGCTTGTTTGTTGTGAGGTCCTGCAGCTTGACTCCCAGCACAGTCTCCCTGCCTTGCCCTCCAAAGCCTGGATTCCTACCTCAGCTCCTCTAGTTTGCGCTGAGGACCCAAGGCCGCTCTGTTCCCTCCAGGTGTGTAGGCTGCCAGACATCGAGCCACCTGCTGCTGCACCTGATGCTCCCGGGCTCTGCGGATCTCAGCCTGCTGCCTCTCCTTCATCTGCTGCTGTTCCCAGGCCCGCAGCAGGTTTCTGGTGAGAAAAGGAGGATCTCCTTGGGGGATCAGGAGCTTCAAGAAAGGCCAAGGTAGCATAGAGGAGCATGTAATCCAGAGGTGAGGGACTGTGAGAAGAAATATGTGTCTCCGAAAGCTCAAGTCCTGGGAAACAAATGATATTTGTCATGGAAGCCAGGCTTTATGGAGCAGCCAGCCTTAAGCCTTTCCCTATTTTCTATTCAGCAGTGAGATCCACTTCTTTTTTTGTTTGGCTGGTTTGATTTTTTTGAGACAAAGTTTTTCTGTGTAGCCCTGGCTGTCCTGGAACTCTATCTGTAGACCAGGCTGGCCTTGATCTCAGAGATTCACCTTCTTCTGCTTCTTGAGTGCTGGGATTAAAGGCATGTGCCACCACCTCCCAGCTGACAGTCAGTTCTTACCATTTGACCCAGGCCTCCTGAATACTCTAGAGGGCAGCCTAGGCCACCCGAGCCAGGAGCTCGGGTCACAGCCAGGGACCCTTTGCATTGCTTACACTCCCTTGCCAGCCGCTGTCTTTGAGAAAGGGCTAGATCTCTAACCACTTTACTTGACAGCAGCTAGGTTAATGCCTAACAGCCTGAGGCATATTAGGATGGACACTCAGTCAGTTAGATGGATAAATGTGTGGGAAAGTATTAAAATGTTGAAGGGATTCATCTATGGAAGAGTAAGTGGGCAAAAGATGGGTAACGGATAAACTTCTGACTCATGCCTAGACCTGCAGAGTGCAGACTGCACCACCACACTGGCCTTTAAACCTTCTTAACAGGAAGAACTGGAAATATCATATGCCTTGATTTCATAAACCATCAATAATCAGTAATCAAAACATGACACTGGGGTAAAAAGCTGATGGATGGACTAACAGGCTGGAAGGCAAGGCTCAAAAAATGGTGCATTGATTCTCCAGAGACGCAAAGGACTGTGGAGGAAAGTGTCCTCATCAGTATCTGGGGGACTGGCTACTCTATTAAAAGAATTTCAGTAGACCATTATCCCATACAATATGCAGACACCAACTCAAGTGGGTGAAGCATTTAAACATAAAACCTGAAACTGTAAAAGTGCTCAGGGAGCTCACGTGGCGATGCACGTTTAGTCCCAGCCCTCACAAGGCTGAGGCAGGCAGATCTCTGTGAATTCAAGATAGCCTGGTCTACAGAGAAGTTCCTAGACAGCCAGGGCTACACAGAGAAACCTTGTCTCAAAACAACAGAAAAGTGCTCGGAATGAAAAGGGAACGCTCTGTGATGTTGGCCTGGGCAGTGACTTTTTTTTTTTTTTAATATTTTTGGTATATATGTAGGAAATTAGAAGTCTTTACATAGCAAAGGAAACAAAGAGCATCTGCAAACAAAACACTAATAAAAGATAACAACGGAACTCAATGACAGTAAGAAACCTCAGTTTGGAAATGGTGGCTGGAAGGTGGGAGGCTCAGCAGTTGAAAGCCTTGCCACACACGCCTGAGTGCAAGCCTTAGGAGCCATATAAAAGCCAGCTACGAGTGTGCACATCTGTAATCCCATCATTCCTAGGATGAGAAGTGGGGCAGAGACAGGTTTGACTCACAGGCCAGGAAGCCTAGAATACATAGCATTCTGGCAGAAACAAGAGAGACCTTGCCTCAAAGCGGTAGGAGAAAACCAACTCCTACCATGATACATATGATACCCATACTCACACAAAATAAATTTTAAAAAAGAAAATGGTCTGGCTGGGCAGTGGTGGCGCACACCTTTAATCCCAGCACTTGGGAGGCAGAGGCAGGCGGATTTCTGAGTTTGAGGCCAGCCTGGTTTACAGAGTGAGTTCCAGGACAGCTAGGACTACACAGAGAAACCCTGTCTCGAAAAACCTAAAAAGAAAATGGTCAAAAGATCAGGCATGGTGATATAAACTTGTAATCCTGGAACCTGGGAGGCTGAAGCAGGAGGATTACAGAAAGTTCTGTGCCAGTTGGGGAACATAACTAGTATCCGACATGGTAGTTCTGGCTAAACAGCAAGGATTTTCCTAAACAAACAACTGACAAAAGATAGCCACTGTCAATTATGGTATGGAGAAACTGGGCCCTTACACATAGTGGGAATATAAAAACAGTACAGAGGGGCTGGAGAGATGGCTTGGGGCTTTAGAGCACTTGTTGCTCTTCTAGAGACCCAGGTTCAATTCCCAGTACCCACATGGGGTCTCAGAGCCATCTGCAACTCCAGTTCAGGGGAACAGATGTCCTCTTTTGACCTTCCTGTGTATGAAGCACACTTGTTATGCCTACACATGTACGTGGTGCACAGACATACATGTAGCCAAAACAACCATACACATAAAATAAAAATACTCTCAAAAACTATTTAAAAAACATGTGGCTCATGACTTTGATCCCAGCACTACAGAAGCAGAGGTAGACAGATCTCTGTGAGTTTGAGGATGGCCTGGTCTACAGAGTGAGTTCCAGGACAGACAGGGCTACAAAGAGAAACCCTGTCTCAAAAAAGAAAAGAAAAAAAGAAAAAGAAAGAAAAAAGAAAAGAAAAAAAGATTCTGATGAAGGATCTAGAAGGGTCTTGTTGGAGATTGATTGGTTCTAATGCTTTGATTCAATCTAGAATCCTCCTGTCCAGACGCTAAAGGTCCTTGCCCCCAGTTGGTTTTTGATTGATCAATAAAAATGCCAACAGCCAACAGCTGGGCATGGGATGGGACACATAGAGTTGGCTGGTAGGACGCAGAGAGGAACAGAAGACTCGCCATGACTCAGGTTAGAAGGATGGGATGAAGGAGTAATAGGGAATCCAACCTCTCATGTGAGATTTTGGGTAATTGGCCACTGGCCACTTCCCAAATTGGGCCAGGGATAGCAGGGGAAAGTTTAGGAGTGCCCAGCCTTTGAAGTAGCCAAGGCATTTTAAAAATAAGCTGTTGTGTATGTGACTTTCATTCAAGGATCCAAAGATAGCTAGCTCCTGGGCAGATGCTCGAGTGCATCAGCTGGGAGCCAAAGTGGTGTAGCAAAGCCTTGCGCTACACAAGGTAGCGCCAACTGCTTGATAAGTTCAAGGTCAACCTGAGATGCATGAGACCGTGCCTCAACCACCTTCTCTCGTCGAAAAATAAATAAAATGATGATGATGATGATGAATGAATTTGAATTTGCCCCTCCCTCACATACCGCTTCTAATCACTCCTTCACTCCTCAAGGAGCATTAAATTAGACTCTAAAAATCTTACTGCGTGGGCAGTAGAGGCAGGTGGATCTCTGAGTTCAAGGACAGCCCGGTTTACAGAGTGAATTCCAGGACAGCCAGGGTTACACAGAGAAACCCTGTCTTGAAAATGAATGAACAAAAGAAAGAAAAGTGCCATGTGCCAACAGAGTTGAACAATTTTATCACGAGATAGATGGGTTGATGGTCAGACAGCCTGGTGAATGGGCAGGAGAATGAGCAAGCTGGAAAGACTGTCATTTGTAAAATTGGTCCCTCTCTCCTCTCCCCTCATTTCTTGCTCCCCTTCCTCTTTTGTCCTCACCTGGTGGCCTCCTGTCGTTTATGGAAGGTGCGATTAGGGAAGTTGGCAGATAAGAAACTTTCATCATCTCCCAAGACGGAGGTCTTCCTGTTCCTGGCAGAGGCCTGGACAGCTGCCCGCAATGCCTTCCAGGTCTGCTTTTGGGGACCTTTCCATGAGAAGATCAAGTCTGGATCACACTCTTTCCTGGAGCCCTGGGCAATTTCACCCAGCATCCAGACAAGCCCTAGCCCACCCCAGCCTCTACCACCACCCCACCCCTCTGTCTGAGCACAGGTCTCTCAGGCTTGTGGTACTTCAGGCCTCCCCACAGTACTAACCACATTCTAACTCCTCCTGTAACTGCCTGTGTAGCCGCTCCAGGTCCCAGGGCCCCTTCAAGTCCTTGGCCCTTGCGGTCACCTTCTGTGGCTTTCGGAGGATGTTGGAGATGCTTCCCAGGTTGTGGCTCTGCAGCTCCCCTTCTTCTGAGCCCTTCTCTCCAGAATTCCTCCCCTTATTGACAAAACTGCCCTTTCTCCTGTTGGGGTCACTGTGTTCTTCCTCCTCCATCACCTCTGAGATCAATTCCTCCTCCAAGATCAAGCCCTGCCCTGGGAGCTGGGGCAGTTCCCCAGGGCTAAGACTTTTCTCAGCCTCTTCACCGTTCTGGCCTTCTACCTCTGAGACATCCTCAGACTCTGATCCTGACCCTTTCCCTGATGACCAGAAGCTGGGTCGCTCTAGCCCTTGGCTCTCAGCTTTGCCCAGAGGTGGGGAAAGGTTAGCCCAGGCTCCTGGCTGATATCTTCTCCCCAGATTCTGCACTTCCATCTTATGGCAGGCTCGAAGGTCTTCTGAGATGTTAGCTACTGACTTGTGCCTGGACTTGCACTGGGGGGCTGCTGGAGGGAAGAGCAGGGGTCGATGGCCCAGGGCCATGGAGGAACTTGACTGGAGCAGAGCCTGGCCATCTATGATGAAGCTCTCCCAGGCCCACTGGAAAGGGAAGGAAGGCTTCCGAGAAGGTGGACTGAAGAGACTGAAGAAGGAGGAGGAAGAAGTCAGAATGAGAGTCCCCCTGGTCCCCAGTGCACCTTCCAGTCCATCCCCAGCCGCTTACTCCTCTGCCTCAGCTGAGCCATGTCCTTTCTTGTTCCGCCTCCGGGGCTTCCGTTCTTTCTTTGTTGTCTGCCCTGCACTGTACGATCTTTGCAGCTGGCAGCTCTGACTCTGGAGACTGTCTCCACTCCCAAGGCGCCTCTGAGCAGGGACAGGGTTAAGAAGGTAGCTCTGACTAACCTCCCATACCACTCTTCACCTCCAGGGGGCTTCCTGTCTGTACATTCTGTCCTGGCTGTGGCTGCGTCTAAAACTTACTGATCACT